TACAAATTATCTTTTACTTCAGATATTGTGATCCGAGAGGTACATAAGTAGTGATTCCAAGGATGGATGAACTCCTAAGTCTGAGAAGTCCCCTGGCTGCTCTTATTGATATGTGTGTATTCCATTTAGGATACTGTTTCTCGGTATAGATGAATCTCATACAATCTAATAAGTGGTGTGGCATTTGGGCCTATGTTCCTATATTTTCCCAGTTGAGTTTTGGTTCAGATTGTCTTTAGGCAACTTCTTAATGGTGGATTTATAATCCCATCCTCTCCAATCAGGTCCTGATTCAGATTTCTCCGACCGAGTGTAATATCCTTTTATGGTCAAAAGGTGATCAAGAGGGGGTTACAAAGTTACAAAGCATGTGCTTAGTGGTTGAACTCTTTCTCCCTTCGTGTTGAGAAGTAATTTAAAATCTTTAGCTGGATATTATGCTCTCGAGTTATGATATTGTTGTTGTTGTGTGCTTATAAACAACCAAACAAGGGCAATATACACTCTAAGAAGTTTCAAGATAGGCGTCTACTCCTTGGGTTTTCTCTCACTGTGCACTGAGTTTGATTTAAAATCCCCACGAGCTGACCCATTACTGTGTTGTCAACTTCTTAATTTTCCAGATGTGTCAAATATGATACTTCCCTCTGAAGTTGTTATCCCGTGAAATTCCATGATCTCTCTCTCCAGAAAATTTTGCACAATCATTATGCCTAATATTGAAGACTGTATCCAGGCTCTCTTTGGTGTGTGTGGCTTCTTTTTCCCCAATGAAGTTATCATAATAACCCCCAGTTGAAGTATCAACGATGTAGTTTTGCATCTTCCCCGATAAAGTCTGTATTGACATCCCCAGTTGAAGTCTCGACGACATGGTTTTTCATCTTCCCCTAGTGAAGTTAGTTATGGAATCTCCAGTGAAGTCTAGGCGATGGAGCTTCCTATTCCCTTATTAAAGTCTGTATTGGTATTCCCCAGTGAAACATGGAAGAGTTTATGATATTCCCACAACTTCATTTGTTGTTAGTCAGGTGTTTCTTTGATTGTTTTCAAGCCATGTTTCCTCTCAGTGAAGTTAAGCCGTGAAATAGGACTTTGTTTCCTCTGTTGATGCTTACCCTCTCGTGGAATCTAATCTTCGTTCTTCATGTGAATTGGCCGAGTGTTACCTTCACCCAAGATTAGATTTGTCTGGTTATCCTTAGTGCATTATGGTTGTTTTGTCAGCATGCGCACAATAACATCCATACATTCATACGCATCATGCATAGATTTAAAATTCATCACTCATTTACATTCATTGATGCTTTGTCAGCATGTTATCCTCCTTGCAAAGTTATGTTACCCTCTCTCCAATAGAGTTGTCAACGTTAAACAGAAAGTGTATATCCGTTCAATTTCCCTACCGAGTTATCCCTCGTGGAAGAATTTTTCTTCAGCCTTCCTATTCAGTTCACTATCTGGTAGTCTCTTTATTTGAGATAGCTTGTAATTTAACCCTTTCCAGGTGAAAAATCTTGGTTAAATAAGAAACTGAGACCAGTTCGTGGCGTATAGTCAGGATCGAGGGGAAATTTATCTGATTCTCCATCAAATGGTATCTCTTCGAGGAAGTTTGGCAAGAGAAGTTTGTTGACAAATCTTTACAAGTGGTAGTCTCTTTATTTGAGATAGCTTGTATTTTTACCCTTTCCAGGTGAAACATCTTGGTTAAAGAAGAAACTGAGACCAGTTCGTGGCGTATAGTCAGGGTCGAGGGGAAGTTTATCTGATTCTCCATCAAATGGTATCTCTTCGAGGAAGTTTCACAAGAGAAGTTTGTTGTGAAATATTTACAAGTGGTAGTCTCTTTATTTGAGATAGCTTGTATTTTTACCCTTTCCAGGTGAAACATCTTGGTTAAAGAAGAAACTGAGACCAGTTCATGGCGTATAGTCAGGATCGAGGGGAAGTTTATCCGATTCTCTATCAAATGGTATCTCTTCGAGGAAGTTTCGCAAGAGAAGTTTGTTGTGAAATCTTTACAAGTGGTAGTCTCTTTATTTGAGATAGCTTATATTTCTAACCCTTTCCAGGTGAAATGTCTTGGTTAAATAAGAAACTGAGACCAGTTCGTGGCGTATAGTCAGGATCGAGGGGAAGTTTATCTGATTCTCCATCAAATGGTATCTCTTCGAGGAAGTTTCTCAAGAGAAGTTTGTTATGAAATCTTTACAAGTGGTAGTCTCTTTATTTGAGATAGCTTGTATTTTTACCCTTTCCAGGTGAAATATCTTGGTTAAAGAAGAAACTGAGACCAGTTCGTGGCTTATAGTCAGGATCGAGAGGAAGTTTATCTGATTTTCCATCAAATGGTATCTCTTAGAGGAAGTTTTGGAAGAGAAGTTTGTTGTGAAGTCTTTACAAGTGGTAGTCTCTTTATTTGAGATAGCTTGTATTTTTACTCGTTCTAGGAAGAACGCTAGGATTTTGGGAAGTTCGTTATTACTCTTTGAGACATCACCTTCAGTAAAAAGCTAGTGCATTCTCTTTTCTCCACCTTCAGTAAACGTCGGTGTATCTTCTATTTCTTTACCTTTAATAAAAGTCAGTATTGTCCTATGTTTTTTTTCTACCTTCATTTTTGAGTGGGTATTTCATTACCATTCTTAGTTAAGATTGATCTTTCTGGTTAGTGATTTCCGATCCCCTGTGTTGATGTTACTCTCTTTTTGCTATCTCCTCTATGAGTGGATAGTTCACATCTATCGGTTAATTGTTGCCATCCACTACTTTTACTTCAGTTTTTGAGTCTATGGTATTTTTGTCTCCTCTCTGGATCTTACCCCAATAAGGTTAAGTTTTCTTTTCCCCAGCAAAGCCAATTTGTCTCCAATAAATTCATATTTCTATCCCCGGAGTCGTGTTGTTCTCCAGAGGTTTATTGTCCTGGTTGAATTCTTTTGTCAACTTGTAGATTCTACTTTTGCGTCTCCAGTGTGTGTCTTGCCCATATGCATGAAGTTTAAACGTTACATCCATAATCATAAGCATCGCATGGTATCTTAGGGCCAAAAATAGGGCTTGTTTTATATTTAAGTATCTTCAATCACGTCGAAACGAAGATTTTAATCTTTGTATCTTCGGATAGAAGACACTTAAATAAGGGTAGTTGTTGTACCCCAATTTTTGCCCCTAAGATCCCTCATCACACTTTGTACATTTCGCACATGGCATTGGCCGCATGGTTATAAGATCGAAGAGCTTTGGAATTAGAGTTTCTCTCTATGAATTTAGTTTGATATCTTACTCAAAATTGATTCAACTGGCGCTCTCATTTTTCTTGGCATGAGATTAGGGTTTTTGGATCTCAAGCAGCATAGATGCCTCTGCTATCAGATTTCCTCAAGATACAACTTTTGCTTCATCAGAGTTCTTTCAAGGAACAAAGGTATTAGGGCCTAACTCAGCCGAAGAATCAGGATTTCTCTTCATTTTGTTTAAGCTTGGTAGTGATTCTTCAATGGAGATTTACTGGATTAAAGTCTCACTTCAAGGTTACATTGAGCGCTACTCTTCCCTTACTGAAAGATTGCTTTGATTTTTGTCAAGTTTAGATATGTACCGTTGGGTAAGCAATGAGTTAGGAGCTCATTTAGCTCGTTTCATCAAATGGAGGTTGGTCGCTTCAAATGCAAGGTGACTAGAATCTGTGGATTTAATGGAGAGTGGGGTATATAACCTTCATTAGGTCATCTGACGCATCATTCATTATTAGTCAATAGTTTGGCTTGAGATCAGGGATTTCGAGGAATTAGGTTTGTTGAGTGGATTTGAGGCTCTTATCTTTACATAAGCTTGTTTTGGTTGATTTGTCCATTAATCATTTGTTCGAACTAGGACTTTACTTCCTGGACTTCTTTACCATCAAACTACAGGGATATTCGATCTCCTCAGCATCAGGTTGCAATCTTTCTTCAATGCTTAAGAATTAGGGTTTTGTTTTGTTATGCTTCAACTGGGGATCATTGGATTAGGGCTCGATCTTGTGGTTATCTTGAACTTCTCCTTCTTCAACATTGTGGACTTGTTTTGAATGATACAATTTTTGTTCTCATCAAGTACTTGTTACTTCAATTGCAAGTTAACTTGGACTATTGAGAGAAATGACTAGTGACTTGGATTCATTGAAACTTTTAATCGTGCTCAGAGTTAATATTGATTCAAGGGCTTATTAAGTTCATGACTTTGTTAACGGTTGATTCAAGATAGGGTCAAGAGCTTATTTAGCTCATTTTATCAAATGAAAGATGATTGTTTCAAATGCAAGATGACTAGAATTTATGGATTCAATTGAGATTAAGGTTCATTGACCAAGCATGCCATTCAAAGTCAACTGAGTTTCGATTTGTCATGAACGCTCGAGTTACATTAAGGATAGATTTAAGATAAATGTGGAATAGAAGTTTTTAATGTGATTCAAGGATAAGTCATTTAACTTGCTTGAAGAACAAGATATATGCGAGAGATGTTACAGGACTTGTGGATAATTTTCCTGGTTTTCTTGTACTCATAATATAAGTAATTCATCAATTGGCCTTGCTTAGAATTTGGATTATGTTTGAGATACAAAAAGAAGATTTTGAATTTGAGGTTAAAGAAGGGATCGCGATTCATTCAAGATACATTTTGAGAATATGTAAGCATAAGAGAGTAAATTCAAAGACAAGTTAATTAATTCAAAGTCTCTTTTCTTGATTCAACCATGGCTATTACAAAATCAAGAACTAAGAACATATACACTTTCAACCATTCAAAATTACATAAAAGTGAGAATTTCAATCCAACTTATGAATATATTACATCAAAGTCCATAAACCAAAATTCAATTACATCCAAAAATCAGCCATATCACCTGTGTCACATTTAAAAGAGAACTATAAAAATGTTGCAAGTTAATGAATGTCCTAATTCTATGAGCTTCGTGTCAAACTCCATGCCTCCAAATTCAATGCATCTTGCTATACTATGCTAAGCTTCAGCTTTGCACCATGGACCATTGGATCAAACCATACGAACTGTGATATAGCCCTGCATTAGAAAATCAGAAGAGTTAAAAAGGGTCCGTCAAGCATATGAGGCGGCTCAAAGTGAAAATGAAATTTCCCTTTGAAAGATCAAATAAGATAGCAAAAGTGGAGGAAGAATGTAAGACCAAAATCCAGCACAATCTACAAGTTTCTAATGAACAATTGAAAAATTTGTTGAAAGTTTCAAAGATAGCTGAAACTAATATGGAAAGGGAGCTTGAAGTTTTGAAAGAGCAACTCAAGAAGGTTGTTGTACCCCAAAATTTGCCCTCCCATTTCCTCAACATTTCCTCATCACAAGACCCTTGAAGATCAAGATCCAGTTAGGGTTTCCTCTGCTCAAGACTTCTCCTTGCACTGTGGACTCAAATTAGGGTTTGTGTTTGCCCAAGGATGTTTTGACCTAAAATGCCTAAGATGACTTTCATGCTTCATGTTGGACTCCCAAGTTTACCCATGCCAAGTTTCAAGTCTTGATTCCAAGTTTTGCCCAGGCAATTGGACAGTTGACCTAGAAATCAGTTGTATTGGGGAAAAAGTCAACTGTGGCCAATTGACAGTCAAATCTCATGAAATTTGACCCACATCAACATATTGAACTCATATGGACCATTTGATCAAGTTTGGATCACAATTCCACAAGAAATTTGATCAGATCATCAAAAGGGCAAAATGGTCATTTTTTAGGGTTTTGACTGCACAAAGGTAATTTTTGACTGTTTGACCTAGCCAATGGCAAACCAAGCTCACATATGGACTCAAGGATCCCATGGAATTATCTTGACATGTTCATCAAGCTCAAAAGATCCCAAGTACACAAGATTGACAGTTGAATTTCCCAGTCAATTGATCAATTTTGATTGTACACTGAAAAGTCAAACTTTGACTTTTTGGTCAAAATCAAGAGTCAAGATTCATTTTTCATCAAAACATGCCAAATCATGAAACTTGTTCACCAAGAAATCACAAAATGCAAATTAGGGTTAGAAAATGGAATTTTTCATAACTTAGAATTTTTCTAAGTTATGAAAAACCCTAATTTTTTCCCAACTTTTCCCCATCTTTTCACCAAGATCCATTTGGATTCAAACAAAAGTCAAAACATGAAAGTTGTAGCTTGTTGCATAATCTACAACTTTGATTCACAAAGTTTTCTCATTTGAAGCTTGTATCTCAAGTTACAATTTTTTGAATAAGGGCACTAAACCATTTTTTAACTTAGTGAAATTTTAACCTATTTTGACAAGGTTTTCTACCCCACTTCAAGGCCACTTTTCATACCCTTCCACTTGGAATTTCAATTTTCATTTCAAAGATGGATTGTAGTACACATTCCAAGCTTTCCAAAATGTCCAAGAACTTCTCAAACAACCTCATAACTTGAGAGATTCGAATTTCACAAGTTGGCAAAAATTCACTTTTGTTCTTAACCAAGACATGTTCATAATCTTGCAAATTTGAACTCAGCTTGCTTTATGCTTGATTACAGGTCCTTGAACCATTCCATACTCAATAATTTAATGCATATTCAATGTGTTAAAGTGTTGTTCTTTGAGTGCAAGCATTGTATGCAAGATTAATCCTAAACTAGATAAAGTGAACTTTCCATTTTTGAAAAGATTAACTTTATATCCAATTGCAAATCAAGAAAGTACATGGAAAATCTGCTTGGCACAAGATTATGTGCATAACACACTGATCAAGAGAGGATTATGCAGCACATTAGGGGGTCCTCTACTGACCTAGAAAACCAACTTGCATTTTGTTGCTTCACATAGAAGAAAAGTCCATAACTTGTACCAACTCTCTCTTCAGCTTACAAACACAAGAAAGAAGTTACCAAACATATTACACATAACATATCCAAGCTAACACACGAGCCCTTGGCCTCCAAAACACTCCCATTGCCATAATCACCTTGAAACTGCTCAAACAGAGCAAGCCCTGCAGATTGAGTGTCATCTCTCAATCCCTTCAAGCTTTCTGGCCCAAACTTGTTCCTCTACCTTCCTTACAACCTATGCAAGCTATCCAGAAGCTAAGGCACGATCTGTAATTGCTCTAACCACCTCCACCATTTTCACATCTTTGACTTGCAGGTGAAGTTCTACAGCTTGGTTCAGAAGCTTTCAAGACAAAGTAAGCACTGAAAAAGCATCCCTGGACCTCAAGGAAGCTTTTCCAATCATTACCTTGCACTAGAAGTTCCTCATTCTCCCGATAGAAGTTCAACTGCACAGGTAAAACTTTGAACTCGTATCTCTCTTATCATGCATCTTTAGTCTTAAGTTTGTGAAGAAACAAGGTTCTACTCATAGCCCCGAACATGTACATAGCTTTACATTTCATTTCTTTTGCCTGAGTTGAGAGAATTTAAGCTTTGAAAATGGCAGAAAACTTAGGTTAAGATTTGGGATCACTAAAATTCTCTCATTTTTGAGAGTTAGGAGATGTTTTTTACATATTTGGAATCGTGGTTTCATGCTTAACATCTTTTATGTTGGAAGTTTGTTCAAAAAATCAAAGAATCAGGATTTCAAAAGAGGCTTGCAGGCACGCGTTTTGTTGTACAGAGGTTGAAGAAGAAGTGGTCTGGGCTGGGCCTGGAACTATTTTCTTTTCACACCCTATTTCCATGTTCATACCCCCCAAGCCCATTTGCTTTATTTTTAATGATTTTTGACATTTTCTTTTTTATTTTGATTCATTTATTTTTCCTCAGCATATTAAAATTTTAAAAATATTTTTTCCATCCTTTTTTGAATTAATGGCATATTTATTTGATTTATTTCTTTGTTTGTACATAAATATATACATATTTTTATTTAGAATAAATACAAAAATAGTGTAAATACATTAATTTTATTTTTTTTATTTTTATTTACCTTCTGAAGATATTTCCCATAAAAATACTTTTTTTTATTTTATTAAAATATTAAGTATATATTATTTTGTATATAATGCCTATTTAAGAACTTAATATATATATATATATATATATATATATATATATATATATATATATATATATATATATATATATATATATATATATATATATATATATATATATATATATATATATATATATATATATATATATATATATATGTTTATTAATATATTTAAGTTAAAATATAAAAATACTTGAATTTTTCATTCTATTAATATTAGATACAAAAATACTTTTTTTCATAATATACTTCATTTTATTTTATTTTTGTAAATAGTAAATAAATACTTGTATTTAAATCAAATAATAATACATTTTCTTTAAAATTAGGGTTTTTGCCCTAAAAGTTAAAAATACTCAAAATAATACCTTTTTATTTTCTTATTTTATTTTACATAAACCCTACTTTTCTCATACATAAAAAACTTTCTTTTTGCATTTTTGCATATTTATTTAATTTCCATTTAATCATGCAATTTAGTTACTTTGCAAATATTCAAAAATGATGTAATAATTTAGATTTAAATTCTTGTCAATATCCCCATTTGAACATTTGTACCCCCCTTCCCATATTTGGTTTTGTAATAGCTTAGTAATTTAAATTTCGCACTTTATACGCTTTCTAATTATGCCATGTTAGAATTAGGGTTTGTATGCGAAAAAAACGATAAAAAAATAGTTATGACCTAATCTCAAGATAAACAAGCATGAAAATGGACACACAAATCACACTTGCACCCCCTAGGGTATTCCACTTGTTGCCTTTCAAAATTGGGCCATATTGTATGTTGAATTTCTTTGGGCAAAGCAAATAATTTGAATGATCATAGTCCCTCGACAAAACTTTTCAAAACAAACAAAAACAAATGATCAAGTCCCTTAAAGAAAATTGCCCGAAGACATTCAACGCTGTTGCAATTATGGTCTAAACGATGACCCGCGCCTGTCCCTTTCACATCCTAACATAAGGTTGTCCACCAAATACAATGGTGGAACAAACTTGTTAAAAGGGTTAAAACATAGCAATAATCTTTTGAGAAATTTAGGAGTAGATAACCTCTTAGTTACTTGAATCAAACTTGTAAAACAAAACACTTGCCTAATTTCAAAACCACACCTCACTACACTTTCAAAATCACTTTCAAAACAACTTTCAAAAACAAATGAAAACCTTTTCAAAATACATACATCTTTGTATACATCCCCACATGGATCATTACAAAGGTTGCCACCACATTGGCCTCTTTTCAAAACATTTTCAAACCCACACACCCAAAGCACCATTTCAAACAATTGAAAACAAAAAGGCAAGTGATCTAAGCAAGTAACTAAGAGCCCATGGATAACCATGGATAGAAAGGGTGCTAATACCTTCCCTTTCTATAATCTACTCCCCGAACCCAAGAAAACATCTCAAAAGGTTTTTGCTGTGCTTTTTAACCTTTCCTTAGGATAAAATAAAAAGTCGGTGGCGACTCTTGCTAACCGCAACATTTGCGAATACAAACGCAAAACCTCAAGTCAGTTCTCCCACCGTATCACAAAGGTGATAGCCGAGTACGAGAGTCAAGTCAAATATGAGAGGCAGCAAAATGAAGAAATTCAAGGAATACTTACAGAGTACCAAGATGCTCTAAGAAAAGCAGTGGAAGATTTAAGTGAGCATAAAAAAATTTATTGTTGATCTATTGAATATCAAGAGAGAATTTCCAACACCTTGGAGAATGCAATATGGCTTGCCGATTAATCAAATGCAACCCTACATCTATACATAAAACCGGATTAGTTTCGCTACCAAAAATATAAAAATACTTTGAAATAGTTCATGCTGCCAAAAACTAGATAATTCAAAAACATGTCCAAAACTGTTAACAGAAACCAGAAAATTCAGAGAAGATCTAGTGACCAAGCATAATTTCTAACAGCATAATAGATCCAGGAAGAATATTCCATTTACGAAAGGTACCCCAGTGGTAATCTTAGAAGATAGCGAAGATCCATTTGCATTTGATCAGGATTACAGTGGATTATCAAAGAGTTCAAACTGTAAAAAATCTATGACCCTAAATAGCTCGGAGAAGAATGTTCACATTACAGAACGTACCCCAACTGTAATTTTGGAGGATAACCATGTCCCCTTTGCATTTGATGAGGATGACATTGTGCCCTCTCAATGGGACCTAAAATTCACAGAAACACAAACCATCTCATTCTAAAAACATAAGGTAGCAAAGAGAAAAATTGAAAATAAACGGCAATCACAAACCAAAATGAGTCAAGAAAATGAAATAACCGAATCTAAATTGTTTCCTAACAGCACTGTAACCAACTTCCCAACCTTCCTAACTAACTAACAGAACTTCTAACTAATTCATAACCGTTTTTTTTAACCAATTACTAACAGAAGAGAGATCTCTAACAAACTTTTTTCAAAGAGAAAATCATGTAACAGAAGAGGGGGGAGGGAGTTCATAATTGACATTCACAATACAAAAGGCCGGAGAGCATCTCAGATGAAAGAAGAAAAAAGAGGATTCAATCACCAGAAAAAAAACCTCAGAGCTTCAAACTTTCTCGGGCTTCCTCTCTACTATCTTCATTACCATCACGATTTTTCTTTAACTTTATCGACCTTATCACAACACTTTGATCTTCTCTGAGAAAATTACAAAATAAAAAAAAAATCCTCGGCTCCCTATCTCTCTGCAATCATTCTTCACACTCTATGAAGAATCACAAAAAAGCTCCAGAAGAACCAACAAGCTCTCTCTGAACTCCATCATTATCTTCCTCAACCACCTTCAATCTCGATGCACTTCTTCTTCATCTCTGGAATTCCTGCTCCATCATCCATGGATCTTGATCACTCCACAATCGCCATCACAACAATCTTCACAATCCGCTAAAGGCTTCATCACATTCTTCTTCAATCTACAACAACGACAACTCGGACACGCAGAAGGAAGAAGAAGAAAACTTGGAAAAGCATACGAATGGAAGAATGTAACAAAGGAAAAAAAAAAGAAGAAGATCAAAGTACAAACCTGAGAAATTGAAGCTTTATTCTCCTAATCCTACAATGAATTTCCATCTTCATTCTTCCATCAATTTCTCTCTGCTTCACACTTTCGCGAGCACAACGCAAAAACACGATGCAACATCATCGCCAGTAATCGCAAATAGTGAAAAAGGAATCGAGAAGTATAAGAAGACAGAGCATTTAAAGAAAAGGTGATAAGAAGACGAATTCGGGATCATTACCTGAGTTTCATCGTGGTCGGTAATCTCCACCACCATACCGGAAATTCAGGTGTCCTAAACAGGTTCTTGTATGCTTTTATAGACTCATGTCCATGCGCTTTCATCTGATTAGAGCTCTGCGTGCTTCGATTTTGTGGAATTGCACTCGTTCCTTTTGATTTACAACACTTAAGGTTCCCGTTTACATCCTGCAATCCCGCTACCTGATGAATTTCCTTGCCGGAATTGAAGTCGGGTGAAGAACTTTGAAGATGCGATGAAGATCAGCAGCGGCGTTGTGATTCCCGGTGGTGTCTGAACCAGATAGAGAAGAAGAGGAAAATGTTGAATTTGAAGATTAAAGGAGAAAGAGAATCGCTTTCATGGATAGAAGTGGAACAGTCATTCTAAACCCTAGCATTAACAACAGGATGTTTGGACTCGGTGGCTATTTTCGCTAGGCTTTGATGTTCTACTTAGGCCAGTTGAGATTTTTGGAAGCTAGCATGTCTTACACCAAAAAGATTGATTATGGATCGAACCACCTTGGCCCATTTCTATATTGTTTTGAAGCCTCGTGTCAATGTACAAAAAAATGGTGGTGGACCAAATCTGATGGGCTTAGCATCATTTCCTTTCAATACGCCCTGTGCCAAATTCACACCCCTTGACTTTTCTAACTTCTTTCCTTTTTTATTTTAGTTTTTTCTTCTAGTTTAATTTTTATTTTTTTTCTCTCTTAATTGATAGTTAAATGATACAAAAAAAATAGTAGAACATTTTAGAATTTTTAGGTTTTCTCTTTAGAGTTTTATTAGAATTTTCTATTATTGCTTTTATGTTTGGTAACCATTTTTGTTGCCATTTTTAGCCCAGATTTTATGATAGAATGTTGATATAACTTTCGCAATATGGAATGCCTGGAGATTAATTTTTTTTATCACTTGTTGCGGAGCAGCTTCTGTAGAGTTTTCTTATGGCTTGCGTGGCTTTGAAAAGGCAACATACTTTCTCTGTTAGCTCGCGTGAAGTATCTCGGATTTCTTTACTTTGGTTGCGCTTTTTGCGGACATCATTGCTCGTTTAGTATTACACCGCTTCCAAATTATATTTCCGCATTTATTGCTTTTCTACATATCATGAGAAGTAGGAAATAAAGAGCGTGCGCTCGAAGTCGTTGTTTAAAGACCTGTAGCAGGAATTCCGCACTTCATTTCTTATATGTGTTGTGCTTGTGTTCGCTTCCTTTCTTTTTGATCGATGAGTCACTCAATCTAGCAATTGAGATCACAACTTTTCTCTCAGTGCATGCTCCCTATAGGATTTTATCGCTTTCCTTTATTTCTTGTTGATCGATGAGTCACTCAATTTAGAAATTGAGATCACGACTTCGCTCTCAGTGCATGTTCCCTATAGGATAGTTTGTTCGACTTTCTTTGGCATGCTAACTTAGATAGGATCCCTCATTGTATGATAACATTAGGTTAGAGATAGGTTAGTCTCCCTTAGATGTTTTCTTCCTGTTTTTTGCATAATTGCACTTAAAACTAAAACTTCTTTTTTCTTGGAAAATGTATAAAGAATTCTAAGCATACAAATATACTTTTCATAATAAAAAATATCAACCAATCCATTTCTTTTCGCCATTCGAATTTTCTATTCTAAGAGCATGTTAGCTTCTTTCCACTACAGGTCATAAGTATCTAAAGGTCGAGCAGAGGTGGAATGATTAAATGCAACATTATTCATTTAAAAAATACCAACAAACAAAATATATGAGCCGAACTACGGTAGCTCTGATTCCTCAAAAAGGATATGTAGGCATTGGGGTGGGGCCCAAGCGAGTACAACTTTATTTTCCCTACATTCTTTCTCCTTTCTTTGCATGCATTCCCTCTTAGTTTATAACCCTTAAGCGTTAGATTGAACACACCCTTTGATTAGAATAACGAGAGTGGATCCCGTAGAGTACTATGGACGTGTGGGGTGCTAATACCTTCCCCTCGCGTAATCGAATCCCTTACCCAATCTCTCGGTCGCAAGACCTTGATTTCCCCTTTAGGTTTTCTTTGATGATTTTCCTTTCCCTTTTATATGGGATAAATAAATACTCGGTGGCGACTTCATTGATTTTACCGCTACAGTTTCAAATAAACCTGAACAAAATGTTGGATTTTTTTATAGCCAGCCTATACACATGATGCGTTCAGATGGATTTTGAGGTGGTTTACTCCTAAGTAAAAATAATGTTTCCGAGAAACCATATTGTGCTAAAGCAATACACACCCTATCATATTAAATTTCACTCTCCTCTAGAAAAAGGCAACATACAATAAGATGTCTGACTATCTTCTCAGCCAAGGCATGATTATGTATAGCAGAAATCACATTAAATTTTCATGTCTCATCCGTAATACGGTATCTGTGCAATTTAAATGGACACTCACATTTACTCGATCTCGTGTCATATCTTTTAACATCCTAATCTTTTGTTGGTATGTGCCACTTCTTTTGCATATCATTTTTTAAAAATCCTTGTCTTCTATTCGAACTATTGTCGAACATTCTGATTGCAACGCCAAACCCCAATTTTCCATCCTCCCTATGGACCCATTGTAGCATATGTTCACGAACAATAAACACTTATTTATTTGTAAATTATGCATAAACATCTACCTCTGCAACAACCGGCCAAGCACCTAGTTTAACATCATCATTTTCTTTATCTAGTTTAACACCATCATTAACTTCACCCAATTTAACATCTTGCTTCACTTCGACCGATTTAACATCCACACTCATAATAGCTTTAGAAAACATATTAAGATGCACCATATCTATTACCACCAATAACAAAAAAACAATGTTAAAATTTAAAACTAATAGGACACTTCAGATATGCACATCCCGACCACATCAAACTTTATTTGGAGATGCATATTCGGATTCAACGTTCATTTTTTTAGTTAAAACACAAGATTAATGCAAGGAATGCAGGATGAAATGAATGATCTTTGTCTGTAATTCCAATTTGTTTTGCTCCCTTTGAAGTGATGAAATACAAGAATAATTTTCTGGTGTTGAAAAGTTGATTGAGAATTAGAGAAAGTTTTTTAAGGGTTTTGCAATGGAGTTTGTTCTTAGCATGAAAAATAAGATCATGCAAGGTGGTGTTTTATCAAATTTCCCGTTGGGTATTTCTGAAGATGCATTTCCGAAAATACCACAAACTTGTTATTTAAATCAGTTGTGTGAATAACAAAACTCCATAAATGAGTGCAGAGGTACTTCACAGATGCATCTTTAGATACACCTAAAAAGTATACGTAGATGCATCTCTGGACTATTTTTTTTAAATTGAGGTGAAACTAAAAAAGAGAGAATTGACGTGATTTTTGGTGCGTTTGAAGATGCATCTCCGGATGCATGAATGAAATTTTAAATTTTCAAAGATGTGATATGCACGTATAAGGGTGAAAGAGTTTCCCTCATGAGAGATCCTAATAGGCCCAACCGTTCTATGATTTATGTTCATACCAAGATGATGATATATAAGTTAGAAAACTATTGCCATAAGATGATTATTTTTTATCATTGCCTTCATTATTATGTATACTTATTTTCTTTGTGGTCAATGACGAATACGTAATTATTGAATCGGCCAACATCAACCAAATATAAATGGACGGTGCATGGAGCTTATCAACCCCATCATATGGCTACAATACAGCTCGCGTGTGGTCAGGTCCACGGTTTTAGCAAGTCATTATGGTATGAACAGCTTGGTATGCTTCATGACTCTTTTCTTCATCCAGGAAGTGAAGAATGTATCAATAAGGTGAACCAGATTACTGACAAATATTGGGATCTTTATTCTAAGTTTCTAACGATTTGCAAGAGCATGACCTTCACAGCCACTTGCTTCGCAATCCCATTGGAGTTTCTAGTGATGGTGATGTGACAGAGTTGCCAGGATGTGAATTCTTATCCTACACAAAGGCTCGGAGGTAAATCTGATTATCTCCCTCCTATACTCACAACTTAGTTTGATTCATATACGTTTATTCATAATATTGTGACTGCTTACTTAATCTTAATCTTTCTTTTCATTACTATTTATGATTTTTCTTATTAGTAAGAATAGAACTCGTTATCCTGCAGTTTACTATTTATGGTTCGTAGAATAATAGTTATTTTCGTTTAATATGTTGAGAGTAATAATAATATTAATGTAAAATATGACCATGTTTTGTTGTTAGAGTCGCAGCGGAAATTTGGCTTCTAATAACAATATGAAATACAACCCTCACTAAAGTTGAACACGAAATAATGTAGTTAGAACAATAAACTTATATGAAGAAATGAAATGTCTAAGAAGAAAGATGAACTTATTGAAAAACTAATAACTTGTTACAATATGTATTGATAATGTCTGTTGTGACAAACATGCTTCATTTTATAGTAATCCATATGCTATAAAATGAGTGAATTACATTACAGACAAGTATAAGCCGTTACCTACCTATTATTACTCCCTATTTTTACTGGAGTGTATTGTATTGCATTAACCACGTGTAATCTTTCCATATTTAGCTTTGCTAAATATTCCTTTAATTCCACAATTCTCCACCTAGTTCATAATTTGAAATATTCAAATTTTGGACGAATATGGGATAATGTTTAACAAGTTTAAGCAGTGTTGGAACTTGCAACCTGACACAATCTTGGTTAACATGTCAGTTGGGTTCTCATCAGTATGTACCTTCGTAAGAGAAATATGACCTTCCTCTACGACATCCCGTACAAAGTGATACGTTACATCGATATGCTTGGTTCGAGCATGATGAACCTGATTCTTAGCCAAATGAAGTGCACTTTGACTATCACACATCAGTCTCACACGTTCTTGCTTAACACCCAAATCACCTAGAAGACCCCTCAGCCACAATGTTTCCTTTACTCCTTCTGCTACTTCCATGTACTCGACTTCTGTAGTAGAGAGTGCCACTGTAGACTATAACATCAATCGCCAACTAACTGGAGCATCGTGTATTTGAAACACATAACCAGTTGTAGACCGTCGTCTATCTAGATCACCAGCATAATCTGAATCAACAAACCCGCTTATTTGATATGTATCTCCACCAAAACACAAACATGTGTCAATGGTACCCTTTAAGTACCTCAAAATCCATTTCACCGCTTCCCAGTGTGCCTTTCCCGGATTCGCCATGAATCTACTAACAACACTTACCGCTTGTGAAATATCCGGACATGTACACACCATAGCGTACATCAAACTGCCAACTGCACTAACATAAGGTACATTTTTCATGTTTTCCTTATCTTCTGCAGTAGTGGGAGACTGATTACCAGAAAGCCTAAAATGTGGAGCTAATGGAGTAACCACCGACTTAGCAC